ATCTTCTAAATCTTTTGTCACACAAAGCTCATAAAACTTGAAATAAATCTTTAAATATCCGCAGCTTTTCAATGTTTGGTGCAAAAGTTGACTGAACATTGCATCAAAGTGTAAATCTTCTTCTTAAATAACTTTAAGCTTAACCAACTGTTAGAACAACACAAATAGAAGAATAAGAATTAAAAACTAAAAGTGTCCATGAGTTCTGTTAACGTGAATAAAACAATAGCGTCCAACGCTCAAGTCAGAAGAACAATTCCCATTTTGTCCAAAAATAACTGCAACCAAAAATTAACATCAACTTTCAATAACAAAAGCAAAAATTAATTTTCTCTAAATGATTGACCACGTAATCTCTTGGACACACGCCCCTAAAAGGTAAACATAATATATAGGAGATAATGCAGCAATGCAGGAATTTTCTGAGTTGGAATTGTGTGTATTTGGGAACGTGATGTTCGCGTGACGAGACTGAGAGTAACGTTTCGAGTCGATGAATTGTGATGGTGAGGTTGCTGGTGGCGCGGTGCGACGTGGGTCGGAAAACGAGGAGGTGGATTCCGAGACGAGGAACGTGAGGCAGGGGCATCCCTTGAATCCTGATTCTCTTGGTAAACAAGTGCTCGGGTGATTCACTGCTTGTTCACTCCTATCGGGCGTCGTTTGTTTCTTAGACGCCGACGCCATTGCATTCTACCTCGTTTTCCGGTCTAATGGATTTTCGGAGCCAGCCCCGGGGAACGAAAATGATCCACTCTCCTGAATATATAGTATATATACTACTATTATTCCAACGAATTTGTCGGAAATCTATAAATGCGTATTAACATTTGAACCCAAATTTTCGAATGGCTCTTCGAACAATACCTAACATATTATAATCTATAACACTTTTGTGGGGGTGATAGTATTTGACCATCAATAACTTTCCATGTCTTTTCAATTTGGGAGGAATTCCTTTTTGGAGCTGATAAGTAGAGGAACGAATTTCTGATCATGTTTCTATTTCTGATGATGAAAAAAGTTTTGGTGGTGGGATCGCAATACGAAGTTCGATAAACTGTAGGACACAAATTTCCTTGGTATTTCAACCAATCGCGACCGTCATCATGGAATTTCAATTAATCGCGACCGTCACCATTGAATTTGCAACCAATCACGACCGTCATTTTGCTAAATGCAGCCAAAAAAATTAGTTGTTCTTCTATTAGGAATATTCTACTGTTTTGTTTTTACCACGATGATTGCCGAGCAAGTCTACGAAGTACAGTCGTGGTTAGCGAAAATAGCGCTTTAATAATCACAGATAGTAGCTCCAACATTGCATGGTGTACACCATCCAGTTAGTATATAAATCAGTGGAATTACTTAAAGAAGTTCAAACCTGAACCTTAGCAAAGAAAACATTTAGTTTCAGAACATAGTATAATTTTGAAGATAATCCCCTACTATATTTTACAGAACAAGCTAAAGGTCCAGGACTCTCTGGCCTAAAAATCTATTGTGATCAGCTATCGCAAGTCCCGATCAGCTTTCCTTGCCGAAAGTTCGGCATCTGTGCTAAATCTGTTCGGGACCCCAACGTCACAATGAAGGACAACATGCGTTCCGAAAGTGGGAGAGCAAAATGTTTTATATTTAATTTCAAATTAATGGGTGTTAACCCATTAAACATAAAACATTCTATATTCCACAATGTAGATTGAACGGACATTTCAATTCGCCTTCAAGAAAATGAAAATTGAGTTCTACTGTTACTATTTCTCATCTAATTGGATGTTTGGTAGGAGGTGGAAGGAAACAATTTCACACGTACATACATATACATACAGAGTTTTAAAGGTGGAAGAATGAGAGCGTCTGTGGGGATTAGAAGGAAGTTGGTCCACGCATATCTCGCGGCAGAAGTTGTCATTAGCGCTAACATGGTTACTATACCTCGGGATGGTAGTACCTGCCGGAAGGTAGAAGTCACTCCTCATCACCCAACCCCTTGCCATCTAGATACTCCCGCAGTAGTGCGCTTCAGAACAAGAGGGGATAATAAGATCTGCGACAATCAACCCGACGTCGGGAGTCGAGACGTCGACCCCTTGGGCGAGTGAACAATAGCGACGTCCGCCACGTTAGGTCCATGTTTCTCTTTCTCTCCTTCCTTCGTCTTCCTCCTCATCTCTCTCTTGATTTCTCTTCTCTTGCATACTCTTTATTCCACTCATGTACCTTCTCTCTTTATCAAATTACTCCTTTTGTCTCTCATCCAACTTTTTTACATCTTCACACTACTTGTTAAAAAAAAGGAGGAAATCCTCATAGGCTGACATTTTTTCTCTCGCCTAATTCCGAATCCTGCAGAAATTAATGTTTCCTCAATTGAGAATTGCGAAGCAATAAAACCAAATATTATTCAAAGAGTATTTTTAAGCCAAACGGGAAAAACTAATGAATTGAAGAACGAATAGAAATGAATGAGAATAGCAATTTTTAAAGTAAATGTAGATGTAAGGGGAAAAGAAAAGGGATGATGGTGGATAGCTAAATCCGATAATGGATAAGTTTGATATGGAAGATGTATAAAAAGTAGCGTGAAGATTGGTAGGCGCTACTTCCGCAAGATTGGTGGGTAAATATGATGAAAGGCGATAGATCACAACTATAATGATTACTTTCTATTATCTCCACTCCCCTTGATTTCTCACTACAATCTCCCTGATATTAAACGAGAGGAATGGAAATATTCAAAACGGATTAATTTGTCAAAGTAATTTCATCAACAAAAGGCAAAGCTGAGCAGAACAATAATTACAGAATCGAGTTTGTTTTTCAACTTCCATGTGTCAATGTTCCATACCATCAATGTGGGTCATCGAGCATTAGGAAAAATGTAATGAAGGTAATAAAAAGTTGAGAACTCTGCCAAGTGTAAAATCTCGTAGAGAAGCTGATCGACATCCCAGGGGGTAGGCAACCAACCCCCCCTTGGCCCTGGTTTCGAGAGAAAATACAGGGCAGGGGTAACGGTCCAAACGGGGCTGATTGTGTATAAGGGTTTGGGAGGAGTAAGGAGAAGCCGATTCGCGGAGGGTTGGCAATGCTGTGGTAGTGGCTGAAACGAGCAAAGAGCAAGAGCGACGTGAGGAGGAGGAGGACGAGGGGGTGGAAGTGGGAGACCAAGCTGGAAGGAGCTTAACCACATCGTAATCAACCTAAAATGGCGTCGAGAACAGAGAACAGAGAACGGTGGAGCCTCCTGAGGTCGCACCGCCATTGTTGATCACCCTCATCCTCCCTTAAAATACGTGCTACATAGCACACTTTGCTCTCGAGTGACGACGCAGCGCCCATTCGAATCAAGTGATCTCGATTCCAGCACTATTTATGGAAACTTTTTTTTTTTGCCTCCTTCTCATTCTGAATAAACTTGTTTGGAATCATTCAATTCTAGCTTATACATCCTTCGCGAACCAATTTTGCTGACCTCCTTTTCGTACCATAAGTTTAATCAAGTTGAAAGGAACACATATACTATTGTTGTATTTTTGTGGAGAAAAGGCTTGCGGAGCTGCTCCCAATTTTGGTTCAGTTTCATGGATTCTGGATGCTGTAAACTTTTTACTTTTTCTGTTCTATATCAGTTCTCTATATTTCTAAAAAGAAATTATAATTTTTCAAATAAAATCTCTTCAAATTTTTTAACCGAATGTTTTTCGCGAACAATAACCATGTTATTGTTCACGAAAAACATTCGGTTAAAAAATTTGAAGATTGATTTTCTAAATCTCTGGTGAATCTCTGAAGTCTCCTGGTGAATTTGTAGAATTTACTGATTCACTAGTGAAAATCACTGATTCATAAAGGAAAACTCAGCCTCTAAATTGAAATGTTCATCGATTCAGATTGTATAGATAAAATTAAAAAAAAAAATAATAAAAATATCGTGGTTCATTTGAACATTCAAAACTTTAGAAACATATTTTTACTTTCAGAAGTAAATTATTTTTAACTGATTCAAATTTAAAAAGTAATCTTCTTTTAATTCATTCAAAATAAATTTTTCTTTTAATCAAAAAGAGTCTTTTTTATTTAAACAATTTTTTTCTGATTCAAACAAATTTTCTTTGAATTAAAAAAATTTGTTCTTTAAATCAAAGAAATTTTAAGATTATAGGGTTAAAGAAACAATTCTTTAACTTTTCAGGTTTTCAATATTTAAATATATCTAAATATGGAAAACCTCATAAAATAAAAAAATTTATTAAAAAGTATCTTTCAGAAAAAATTCTTTTACCATTGTTAAAATTTATTCTTAATTGTAATTTAAAATGAATTTATTTAATCGATTGAAAAATACAGTATATAGGTATGAATTCGAAAATTAATATTCGATCAATGTTTCTTCCAAAATTATCTCATTTGATTTGATTGAGTACTTAAATACAATTTCTAAGTGCATTTATTTATGGCGTTTACAAAGCCAGCATCCTAATCGAAATTGCAGCAATTCTTGCTATAATATTTCTTCTAATGTCTTTTTATTTCCTTACTGGATACGTGACCAGGAAACAAAGTCTTGTAATTAATTCAGGACATATAATATATATATCAAACTGAGAAATTATTATATATATAAAAGTTGAAAAAGCAGAACAAAATTTATAGTCAATTAGTTAATTGAAAACGAGCATTCTATTTCTAATAACAAAAATAAGCATCGGTTATAAAATTAAATGCACTAAATATAACTAAATATTAAATAATAAAAATTAAAAATAAAATGTTAAAACAATAATGCAAGTTTATAATTTTATAGAAGAAAATATAAATAGTTTTTTTTGGCAAAAAAAAAAAAATAACAGATAAAAATAATAAAACATAAAACAGTAAGCAACCTTACCAGCACAAGATAATAAGAAAAATACTAAAAAACGTTCTGTAAGTATCAGGAATAATCGCAAGCATGCTGGTGCGCTACCTCCCAGAAAATATTACAAGTTCAAGAAACTTTTTTTGTAGTTTTCGCTTCCCGGCTCATCTTTGTGTTGCTTCTTTCGCATAATTGCTTTTATCATTATTAAGTATTAAAAAAATGTACATATACATAGAAGTGAAAAAACATTCAGTATACATTTTATCATTTTAATACTATCACTCGAAAGTGAGAACTTTCTGAAATGTTATAACAATTGTTTAATTATGTGAACATTTTTTCTTTTTGTTGTTACAAAACGACAACAACGTTTTAATTTAATTTTGCGCATTTAAAAAGTTTGAGAAAATGAAATTTCTAGAAGCAAAACTTGTAACTCTAGGGCGATATGGTAAGTGAATTAGAATTATTTTAATTAATATAAAGTAGCTGTATTTTAATTTTAACATAATGTTTATTTGTTTATTTACCGCATATAAACGGGAATAAATTTATAAATAAATAAACACATTAATTCAAATATAAATATTAAATAAATTTGTATAATTTATTTCAATTTATAATATATAAATGTTATTTTATGAATTTTAATAATTTCTATTTATTTTCATTTATGTGTTACGTTTTTCCATTTGACGAACAATTTTGAATTTTCTTTAAGACCAAAGTACAAAAATCAATGTTTCAAATTGCAAAGATAAGATATTTGATAATTTTACTTTTTAGAAAAAATTGAATTTTTTATTAATAGATTAAACAGCTCTGTGAGCATGGAGGGGGAACGGGTCCTACACACATCCGCTTTCGACTCCTAATTTTGTTTTCTCTCTTTAAAGATGTTCCCTTCTTTCTCCCAGGATCAAATCCTGATCATAGCCTTGACACAAAGAAATTTTTCCCTTGTATAAGAAATTCAATAATTTCAAGCTAAATTTTAGAACACATCTGACCCAAAAAAATGAATGAATAAAAAATTTTCCTTTCAAATTCTTGTCAAAATTTCAATTATTTTCAAAAGTTTTCTAAAATTCAATGATTTTCAATATCTACTGTTTCAATAAAATTTTCCAAAAGAATTCCATTATCAAAAAAAAATTTCAATAAAATTCTACGCAAACATTCAATTATTTTCACAAATAATAAAATTTTTTACAGGAATTCAATTATTTACAAATTTTTTTTTATAAATTTCTTCGAAATAATTCAATTATTTTTATAAATAATAACATTTTTACAGGGATTCAATTATTTTTATAAATAATAAAATTCTTTTAGGAATTCAATTATTTTCATAATTAATAAAACTCATTGCAGAATTTCAATTATTCTTAATGCAATTTTAATAGAATTCCTTGAAAAATGTAATTATTATTATTAAAAATTTTATTAAAATACGCACGCATAGAAAGGGTTTGCTGTGGCAGCGAACATTTTGCTGCCACAGCAAACCTTGTTCGTTGAAATAATAGGGACAGCGAAAAAGTTCGCTGTGAGATCAAACATTTTCGCTATGACAGCAAACTCGCATAAATTTTTACTAATGTTTGCTGTCACAGCTAACATGTTCGCTGCCACTGCAAACTTCTTAGCTGTGGTAGCTAATTTTCAGAGATTTTACAGCAAACATATGTTTACTGCTGCAGCTAATTTCTTTTTTTCCGTGCGTTCAAAGAATTTAATGATTTAAAAAATTTGTTGATAACATTTTTTATGAGATTTTAATTTCAAGAAACATGAAATTAATAAATTATTTATTTTTCTATTTAAATAATTGAATTCTCGTAGAATTTACTAATAAAAATGGTTTTAAAAATTAATTTCAGTTAACATTTTAGATTATAATTAAACATTAAAAGCATTATAACGTGGATTTTTAGAAATAATTAAATTTTGAAAAAGTTTCAAACTAAAATCATTTAAATTCTTAATTTTTCATATTTTTGACAAAAAATTCTGTAGAATTAATTCTTTTTAAAAGTTTAATAAGATTTTTATTGAAATTATTTCAAGTTTTTATTTTTCAATATATATTTAATTGCAGAATTTCCGAATAATTGAAATTTTGTAAAATTAAATTATGTAAACGAATGAATTTGAAAATTCTCATAAAACTCATCGCAGCGTTTCAATTATTTTTCATACAATTATAATTGAATTCCTCGAAAAAAGTAATTATATGTTCATGCAAGTTTTAATAAAATTCAACAAACAGAATTCAATTATTTAAAAATTTGTTACTAAAATTCTTTATGAGAATTAAATTTTCAGAAACATTCAAATATTCAATAAATTATTTACTTTTGCATTTAAATAATTAAATTCTTGTAGAACTTTCTAATAAAAATTGATTTTCATTTTATAAAAATGAATTTCAGTTAAAATTTCAAATTATAATTGTATATTAAAAGCAATATAGCGTGAATTTTTAGAAATAATTGAATTTTGATATTAATTTTTTTGAAAAAGTTAAATTGAATTTTCTTTTATATTATTTGAGGTTTTTATTTTCTAATATGCATTTAATTAAAGAATTTAGGAATAATTGAAATTTCGTGAAATTGAATATTGTAAAGAAATGGATTTGAAAATTGCCAAAAAACTTTTTCGAAAATTATTAAAAGTAATTGATATGAAGTAAACTTGTAGTCAAAAATTGTTGAAAATAATAATTGAATTGAAACAATGAAAATAATTTTGAAGTAATATAATATTCTTATAATATAAAATAATGATTTTATTACTTGGTCATCTTTAATTATTATTATAAAATATGAAGAAATCGATGACTCCGAGTCGGAGACTCGGAATTATCGATATCTTCATGTTTTATGGTTATAAAAAAAATTAATGAACTAAAATTTCATTCATTGTAAAAAATAACACTAAGATTGATTATTTTAATCTTTTTTGGTGTTAATTTAATCTGCAACACTTTTTAATACCTCACGATTTACTGTGAAAAATATTAAATAACTTGAAAGTTAATTTCCTTTTTTTTAAATACCTACTAAAGTTACATAATTTTTTTTAGGAGTAGGAAAATCTGCTATAGTTAAAAGATATGTCGATAAATCATTTGAGCCTGCCTACCGACAAACAATAGGAGCATGTTTCTTATGGTGCAAATTAAATGTTGAAGATATAAATCTGACATTACACGTGAGATGAAATTTTATACTTTTGATAAAACTTAGAAGTGCGACTACAATAGTATCTTAAATGAAGATATCTCTTTTTACACTGCTTTTATTAAGGGGACACCTAAGTGGAAAAATGACAAAAAAATCGCATTTTTTTATTTGATTTTCTAAAAGTAGACTCAATTAGGAATAGAACAAGACTTTTTAAAACCTTTTCTGAAGATAAGAAAAAATCTGATTACATGATTCTGAATACCATGAGTTTTTAGTATTTTTCTTTTTTCGTGTCTCCTGTAAAAATTGTTTTTTTCCAATTTTTTAAACTTTCGGTACATTTTTCTCCGAGTCTACTAAACCGATATGTAATTTTTTTTTTACTTTGTTCAGTAAGGTTCCAAGAATACGAATAAGAAGTTTAACATCATTTTGAGTTGTACAAACGGAGATATGAGTCAATGAATCAGAGAAAATGGGATTTTTATTTTGCTTTTGGTATAAATATTCATAAAAAAGTTTCTATTGAAGATAACGTCGTATTACTTCTTATTCATATAATTGATTATATTTGTAATCGAATGAAAAAAGGGCGAACGCAATATTGGAATAATAGTTTTCGATAAAAGTGTACCGAAAGTTGACTCTTTTTGCATTGTTTTTAGGTGACTTGGGTGTCCCCTTAAAAAAAAGTATTACAATAATTGTTTTAGATTTGGGATACTGCAGGAGAAGAAAGATTCCAATCGATAATGCCAATGTACTACAGAGCGGCGAATGCAGCTTTATTAGTATTTGATCTATCATCTTATGAATCATTCGTAACTCTAAAACAAATGCTCATTAAATTTGAAAGAAATTCAGATGAACATGTCGTTAGACTTTTGATTGGCAACAAATTAGATTTGAAAGACAAAAGAGATGTTTCTGAGAAGGAAGCAAGAGAGTTTGCTTCTAAAATTGATGCTTCCTACCATGAAGTATCAGCTTTAGCAGATATAGGAATCGATGAGATTTTTCACAAAGCATCATCTGAATTAGTTAATCTTATTAATCAAAAGAAGGAAACAACCATGAAATTTTACGAATGTAACAAATTAATAGATAACAGTCGCAAACAAGTTTTAAAATTGCTAAATGATTCAAATGGTAGCAGAAAAACTAAAAAGAAAAAGTGTTCCTGTAAGTAGCTGTACTATTTTTGAAATTTTTTATACGAAAGATTGGATATTTTTACTATTACCAGATATAACTTCCGTTATTTTTAGGGTTTTGTACATCGAAGACTTATCCAGAACCTTTATAAAAAAAGACGTAAAAAATAATAAAACTTCTCCATTTGATATCCTTAGAAAAACTTAAGTTAATTTGCTTGATGTACAGAACCCTAGTAGTATTTTTACTCTAAGACTATTTGTAAGATATTTTTATATTTATATTTTATATTCACTATTTTCTACGACTATTTTTATCATTTATTGTTATGTTTACTCTTGAGTCTCTGGATTCTAAAACTTGTTTTAAGCTTTAAAAATTGTTAGATATATAATTGTGTATGTTTATATATCGTTTTTTGAAAATATTTAGAAAAGTATTATGGTTGTACCACCGGAAAAGTAAAACCACACAATTTTAACTAACATATGTATTGTGGTAAAATGGTCCTCAGAATTTTATATGCGGTTTTACTGTTCAGCATGTCCGGTTATGTTAAAAATGCATGTTTCAGTATTTCCATATAAAAAAAATTATTGTTAGAAAGAAAATATTCTTTTCTTATTATTATAGAATAGAAAATTATATAAATCCTAAAAGATTTTGTAATTCACGTTTACGATCGACAATTTAAAAGAAAAAATGTTTCTCTACAAAAATTACTGTTTTGTTCGAAAACATTCTCAAAAGAAACATTTTTAGACAAAGTTTACTATTTTCTTTGTGAAAAACATAATTTCTAATCATTAAAAATAAACGTTGTAAACGTCACCGACACGCGACTTTAAAAGAGTCAATCAATTATACATGAAATGTGATAATTTTTCAACTTTGTCAATTGTTCATAAATTATTAGAAAGTAATTATAAAAAAAAATTCACAATAAATTGTGACAAATTCTATTTTTTTATATAATAAAATTCTGGAAGAGGCTCAGCTAAACAAATCATAAGTATACTCTATTGTTCTCTTGTGAATCTGTGATCATTATAGGTGTATGAGAAATTGCAACAAGTAGTAATTTATATTGATTTTGTAAACTTTAATTTTTTTTAATTTGTATTAATAAAAAAACTGACAAAAATGTGGTTTAACTTTTTCATTTTGGTAAGACAATCAAAGTAAACTTTAATTTGAATTTAATAAATTTATGATTCATATTTGTTCTTTGTAAAAAATTTTGCAAACAAAGAAATTTACTCGAGTAAATAAAAAAAATGTTAACGTTTAATTAACAATTTAACAATATTTTTTTCAGAGAAAAATCATATTTGTAAGATTTTTGTTAATTTTACGAAAACAATAAAAAAATTGCTATTAAAAAAAATGATAAAAACAATTTATTTTATTTTACCAAAATAATAAAAAATGTACGGAATTGTTTATTGTTGAGTTAAAAATCATATGCAATTCTAGTAATTATTTTTTTTAAATAAGTATCTTCAAATTAAATAAAAAACATTTTTTTTAAATTATATTATTTTTCTAATTATTCTTAATTTTATTAAATCAATTTTTTATTCAAACAGCAGATCTCTAACCTACCGGTCGAAATCAACAGTCCTACATGTCTGAGATAAGATCCGTTGGAAGCGCTGATTTTCATCACAATACTCTTTAGTCGTAGACATTCAATTGTTACAAAGCTTTTTTCTGCAAAGATCACTTTAAAATATAAATTTTTTTAAATCTAATGTATAACTAAAAACCCACTAAAAATTGATAGGAAATATTTAAAGAAAACTTCAAACTTTATTATTGCGAAGAATAATAAAATTTTTTTGACATGAGTCGTATTTCCAAGTAAAAAATGAAGGTCATTGAAGGAAAAGTTGTTTTGTTGGGTGCACAAGGTACGTAAAAGCAAATTTTAACAAAATCCTTTGTTTCTTCTATCGCTTCTTTTTTTTTAAAGAGAATGTTTCTATTATAAATCACAGAGGTGGAGCTCTAATTTGATTTTCACTATCAAGTGTAAATTGCTATAAATTGTTTATAGTGTTGATTGATTGTTGATGTTTAGAAAACTATATTATTTATAATTATTTCCTTGTTTGATAAAATGCAGTTGTACCAACTATGTTTTTAATCTTGTATTCAAAAAGAAAAAAAGAAAAATGAGATTGTCACATTGTTTACAATTTTACGGAAATCACATGGAAATCCCTGACTTGCAGCGCTCTCTGGTGCCGTGCAGTGGAAATATTGATTTTTAAATAGTGAAAAATGTTTTAAAACCATAGAAAGAGAATAGGAAATAGTATTTTTTAATTTAAAAAAAAGTCATTTGTTGCTCAGCATCAAAATTAATATTAAGAAACAAATTCTTTCGCGTAAAAATTATATTTTATGTGCTATTTTCTCAATTTTTCTATTTCTACCTATACATAAAGTTAAATTAATTTCTTGTAACGGAAACGTGTTCAGACTTGTTCTAACCTTTCTTACTATACTATTTGGGTACTTTATAAGCTACTATGTATTTCTATTTTTTTTTTTTTTAAACTTTCCACTACTTTAAATTTGCTAACTAACTAACTAACTAACTATTTGCTAACTATTCTCGAAAATTATAATCAAATTCTTTAAAACGATTCAATTATTTTCGAAAAATATTGGAAATTCAATTATTTTCAATATCTAGTATTTTTATAAAATTTTGCAAAAGAATTCAATTATTTGAAAAAAAATTGATAAAATTCATCAAAAATTAAATTATTTTCGTAAGCAATAAAATTTCCACAGGAATTCAATTATTTAAAATAAAATTTTCATAATATTTATTATATTTCGAAAAAATTATTGATCTAAAACAATGTTTATAAAATTCTTATAAACAATTCAATTATTTTTATAAATAATAAAATTCATCGCAGGATTTCAATTATTTTTAATACAAGTTTAAAGGAATTACTTGAAAAAGTAATTATTCTTAAAAATTTAATTTCAATTCCTCGAAAAAATCAATTATTTAAAAAAATACTCAACAATCAAATACTCAAATTACTCAACAAATTATTTAAAAAAATATTTTTTTTAAATTCATTAGAATTATTTAATTATTTACAAAAATATTAGAATTTTTCACAGGAATTCAATTATTTTCAAATATTTTAATAAAATTGGTCGAAAGAAATCAATTATTTTAAATACAATTTTAATTAAATCTTTTTGAAAGAATTCAATTATTCCTTTAGATTTTAATAAAATTTTTCCCAAGAATTTAATTATTCACATAAATAATTCTTCGAAACAATTAAATTATGTCGATAAATAACAAAATTATTCCCGAAAATTCAATTATTTTGAGGCATTCTTATAAAATTCTTTGCAAAATTCAATTATTTTCATAAATAACAATATTCATCATAAGAATTCAATTCTTTTCATAAATAATAAAACTCTTCTCCAAAATTCAATTATTTAAAAAATTTTAATAACATTCTTGGCAAAATTTCAATTATTTTCATGAATAATAAAATTCTTCTCCGAAATCAAATTATTTTCAAAAATTTTAATAAAATTTTTGGCAAAATTTCAATTATTTTCAAATAAGTAATAAAATTCTTCTCCGAAATTCAATTATTTTCAAGTAAGTAAGAAAATTCTTCTTCAAAAATCAATTGTTTTTAAAAATTTTAATAAAAATCTTGACAAGATAACAATTATCTTTATGAATAATAAAATTCTTCTCCGAAATTTAATTGTTTTCAAATATTTTAATAAAATTGTTCGAAAGAAATTAATTATTTTAAAATTTAAATACAATTTTAATTAGATTTTTTTGAAATAATTCAATTAAAAAAAAAATTCAAGTATTTTGAGGCATTTTAATAAAATTCTTTGCAAAATTTAATTATCTTCATAAATAACAATATTCATCAAAAGAAGTCAATTATTTTTTAAGATAATAAATTTCTTCCTGGAAATTCAATTATTTGAAAAAATTCCAATATAAAATCGTTCGCAAGAATTTAATTATTTTAAAAAAAATTTAATAAAATTCTTCTCTGAAATTCAATTATTGTCAAAAAAAAATTAATAAAACACCACACAGACATTCAATTATTGTCAAAAACTTTAATAGAATTATTTGTAAAATTTAATTGTTTTTAAAAACTTTTTGCAATTCAATGAATTTCCATATCATAATCAACGAAAAGTTTATTGAAAGTCAAATTGATACTGAAGTAGATTAAATTGATGCCAAAAATTTAGATTAATTTTTGATTTGGTCCACATTTTTGGTATCAATTCGTTGCAATTTGATACTTTTAAGTTAACGGTGCATAAATTGAACCATTTAATTGATTTAAATAAAAATTATATTTATTTCAAGTACCTAAATATTTATTTGATTATTTTTGAAGTATTCGGTTATTTGAATAAAAAAAAAATGCTTTTTTAATCTTGCAGCAATCAAATAGTTTGCGTCAATAAATTGAGCTACAGAAACTTCGACTTCAATCAAAGTAATCATAATCGTATAATCATAATCACTTATCAATCATAAATATTTTCATTTTTATAAATGATTATGTAATTACACTTTTGAAAAAAAATATCAACTAAATCGTCAAACTACTCGAAAATTGTAGTCCACCAAAAAAGATAAGATTAAATTTTTCTCTAAAAATATTTTTCTATCTTCAGCTGTGGGAAAAACAAGTCTATTGATGCGATACGTGAACAAAACATTCGATAGTCACAGTCCCCCAACGATAGGCGCATCATTTTGTACCTGCAATGTACAAATTGGCGATATCGGAATTGTCCTCCAGGTATTGAAAAAATTATTTCTTTTTTAAACTATGAGGTTTCATAAAAGCATTTTGAAAAAATTATTACTTTTTGAAAAAGTAATAATTCTCTCACCTTTTTTCTGCAGATATAAAATTCGAGACAAAAAAAAACGAATCAAAATTGTTGCATCGCAATTTTGCGATGCAACAATTTTGATTCGTTTTTTTGTCTCAATTTGACATCTATTTATTTTTTCAAGGTTTGGGACACGGCAGGAATGGAAAGGTTCCGATCAATGGCACCCATGTACTATCGAAAGACAAATGCAGCTCTTCTTGTCTTTGACTTGACGAACCAGGAAAGTTTTGCAATGGTGAAAAGTTGGGTGTCTGAGCTAAAGAGAAACATTGAGGAGGCCATTATTCTCATTGTTGTCGGCAACAAAAGCGACTGTGTAAAGGAGAGAAAAATTGATTCTGAAGAGGGTAGAAAATACGCCGTCTCAATTGGTGCTTTTTATCATGAAACATCAGCTCTTTATGGTGATGGAATTGAAACTGTCTTTCAAAATATTGCCACTGAGATGTTAAAGCTAACCGAACACAAACATTTAATTACAAGTATTCGAGTTTACGATTCGGACGTCGATGATAATATTTTAGTAACTCCCGCCAGTGAGGACTTTCACGACAATAGTATTGCGCACGGTGTTCATGAAAAGCCATTTTTCTGTTGTTAGTTTAAAAAAAAACTGTATAAAAAAAATTCATTTCTGATGTTTCCGATTTAAAATTCATAATCAAAAATTGATATTAATATATAAATAATAATATTATTTATTAATATTATTAATATTATAAAATTATTATATTATAATTATAGTATAAAATAATGAATTTACAGTTTTATTTACATCAACTTTAATTTTTGTTTCACGTGAGCTTAAGCACATCTAATGAAATGAAGACTGAAAGATGCTCAAATTTTTAACCATTACGTTTTAAAATTAAGATTACATTGTGATGCTGCGTCATACTTTGAAAGAAATTTATTAGTCATTTTTTGCATAATAGTTATCAAATTCAGAAAACAAAAAGATAAAATAGTATCAAGTTTCTAATAATTTTTCTTTTCATTGTTATCTCAGTTAGAAATTTTTCAAAGGCAAAATTTTTTATTAAAAACTCACGAATCATTGTAGATATCTGAATATTGTAAATTGTAACTAAGAAAATACTTCCGAATTTTTGAAAAATTACCTTCTTCGTGTACATTAAATGTTTTAACAAATTTCTTTCACTGTACGAACCTATTAGATTATTTAATATAGTGATTGTATTGTATGCATGAATAAGCCCAAACTAATTTTCCAAAAATTAAGAATCCATTAGTAATTAGTATTGTACTTTTTCTATTCATTTAACAATTATTGCCAAAAATTTTTTAAGAAAGTTCCACTTAGGTGCTAAAATCTAGTACAATAATGCGAAAAATATTCTCTACAGTGATAAAAAATATCGATAATATAAAGTTAAGGAAAAATAAAATTAAAACTTTATATTTTCATATGAAAAAATGTACCAAGCGAATAAAAAACTTATTTTTATAAAAAAGAAAAGAATAATGTACATTTTATGAAAGTCGACATAAATGAAAATTGTTTTATGTATAGCTGATAAGAAAATAAAAATATATTTCTTCTTTTAAAAACTTTTACTTTTAAAAAAAAATTTACCTTTTGCCTACATTTGGTAGAAGCGTAAGGAATTTAATTTTCTACATTTTGAACATTTTTAAGGTATATTTGAATAAAAGTTATAATTTTTTTACATAATAAATGATTTAAGTAACATAACCGATAATTTGACAAATGTTTCGTATTGACAGAAAATTGTAATTTTAATTCGAATACAACTTTTAATCGCTTTAAATATTCAAAATTAAATTCTTCGTCTTCCCACCAAGAAGAATTTAAAATTTAATTTGTGTTTTTCTTTTAAATTACGAAATTATGTCATTGGACTAACTTTTGATTTGACTGTCCATCAGATTCTTCTTTAAATTCTTTTGACTTTTGACCTTAAATTCTTTAAACTTTTTGAAAATAATGTTTTTTTTAATAATTTTAATTAAAAATTTGGAAAATAATTGAATTAAACAAAAAATTTTTTCAATTTTTTAAAATCATCTTGTCTTAAATTTTATTAAAATGCATTCATACTAATTGAATTTCTGCAAAGAATTTTAATATTTATAAAAGTAATTGAATCCTTCCAAAGAATGTTATTATCTATTAAAATAATTAAATATTTGCGTAGAATTTTATTAAAATTTTTGAAAATAATTGAATTATGAAGAACAATTTAATTATTTATAAAAATAATTGAAATTTTAAGGAGAATTTAAAAAAAATTTTAAACATAATTGAATTTCTGCGAAGAATTTTATTACTTTTGAAAATAATTGAATTATTTTTTAGAATTTTATGGAAATTTATGAAAATAATTGAATTCCTGTGAAGAATTTCTTTTAAAAACAATATTCAAAAGAATTTACTAAATCTGATGAATTTTGCTATTTATGAAAATAATTGAATTCTTGAGAAGAATTTGTTTTTAAAGTTTCTAGAAATAATTGAAATTCTGCAATGATTTTTACTATTTATGAAAATAATTGAATATATTGCGAAGAAATTTTTAAAAATAAAATTACAATTACGCTTTTGAAACATTTAAATAAGATCTTTAAAAGAAGTTAATTATTTTTAATAGAATGTAAAGAAATTTCAATTATTTCAAAAATTTTCAATTATTTGTCTATAAAAATTCAATTATCTTCAAACAATAGAATTGAAAAATTTCAAAAATCTTATTTTTCAGAATTTTCAAAAAAATCTTTGCGAAAATTCAATTTTTTAAAAAAATTTTAAGTGTGTATCTTTTTTTAAATTAACTAAAAAGAATTTTAATTATTAATCTTCGCACTAAGAGACATGAATACAGAATGTGACTCTTTATAAAATTCAATTATTTATCAATTATTAAATTAAAATTCTTTGAAAATTCGGTTTGCTAAACATTTTTTAATGAAATTCTTTAACAAATTAAATTATTTTCAGTTAAATTTCACAAAATTTCTATTAATTCGATAATTTTCTTTAAATTTAAAAAAAAATTTTAATTTATTTACATACTATATTGGAATCAATGACTTATTTTTTACTATCAAATTAATTATTTTTAACTAATGCGAATTTACCAAGCAGTATCTAAATATCTATAAAAATTGAAATAAAAGCAAAGCGATTTTTTAAAAACACATTAAAATAATAAAACTTTTTTCAATTTGATGAAAAAATTCTTTGCTATTTCCCGGTTTTCCCGAACTCTATTTTTCAACTCGCAACCCTAAAAAATTTCTTTATTTCTGAATAGAAAAAAGAATCCTCCTGACCTATCTTCGTATTTTTTTCTCCGTCATATAATAACTGCATAAAAATTATATATTTTATTATTCCTTTACAATGGCAGTGAGGATTATTATCTAACGTGTGAGACAGAATCGAAAGAAACGTTTTTGTATCTGAAGTAATATATGTTTATAAAGCGATGATGCATTATGGGAAAGTACGGTCACCGAACTGTGAAAGAATCTATTTATTATGTGAGAAAAGAGAAAAATCCACAGCGAAGAGACACAACAAAGAAATGATTTTTCAATGAGATGCTCAATGATGTCATTATTAAAAATCATTTTTACAAACAAAGTCTGAGGATCTTCGATCCTCTGTACAATTCTTCGAAAGTAGTTTAAGGATTTACTATTTATGTAATGGCCACATGTCAGGAAAACAAAATTAGAACAAAAATTAAGAAAATTGAGATACTTTTTTCGACTACTTTTAAAAAATTCCGACCTTTTCGACTTTTCTTCCAAATATTACATGCAACTTATTTCGATTTATACAACTATAAACAAATCTTTTAATGATTTTATGAATAAACTTTGCTTAAAGGTATAAAGAAGACAATTTGTACAATTAATCAAGTCAGGAACATGTCTCTACTAGGAGGAATTATAATCGTGCTTGTGTGAGTCACTTCCATCGGTTGAATGCCTCGAAGCGTAACGTCCCGTGGCTTATCCCATTTTGATTATGTAAGTATGCATCTAGGCCCATTAGAGCTCTTCTTTAAACACCGCGAAAAAGTCGGAATAGAACTCAGGGTCGAATTCGGACATGTACCTATGAGAGTCAAGGAACTCTTCTCACATTTATTTCTCAAAAAACTATACTATACACGATAGCATCATTAACTAAATATAAAAAATAGGTATACTCCACTTTTAAGTACATCCTCCAATTATATTAAATTTTCTACAAATTCTACAAATCCTACAAATTTGCCATAGTGAGAATTTAATTAATTAATTATACCACTTATGTTGCATTTACCATCTCTTTACATAACATTGTTATTGTTAATTGTTAATTGTTAATTACAATTCAAAAATTGATAGAAAATTAAAAAAGCACTTTCACTTTGTAATTTATCTTTAAATGTGATTATGTAACGTGGTTATATTTTGAAGAAAGCAAATAAATGCAGTTATAAAATGAAGCGTTAAAAACAATCAGTTTACGGCTACTAATAACGGGCATTTACATATCGGATTGCAGTTTTGTCATTTTTAGAAACAATGGGTTGTAAAGATTTACAATTCCACTGAACGTTGTCATCCTATTATTTCAAATTTGCTTCCACTATAGCTTCAACGCTTCCGAAAGGAAAAGGCGAAGCAATATCTCTATGCCTTTCTAAACACACCCTCAGAAACTTTGCAAATCATTTTCTTTTTTCTTTCTAAGGCATTTTCAAAACACTTTCATGTTACATTTTTCTTCTTTGAATTAATAACAAAACTTATTTATTTTTGTGCCTTTCATTATGCATTTAGGCTTTTTTTAATGTTTTGCCCTTTTATTACAAAATAATTAAAAAACGGTTTTAATAAATAGTAAATAAAGCAACTGGGGACTTAAAATTAATGACATCTACTATCTACAAACCGTTTATTACAAAATAATTAGCAAAAATATTTATTAATAAAAAATATTTGTTATGAAAAGTATATTTTATAAAAAGTATGTTTTTTGAAAAGTATTTTATACAAAAAGTATTTTTTATAGAAAACATTGTTTACCATCGACAATAATAATAAAAAATCTAATTATCATACACTATTATTAAATATCGACATATGTACACTTAAGACGCAGAATGAAAGGGTCCCATACAAAGGCTGAGAAAAATGATATTCATCAACAAATTAACTTTGAAACAATCCTAGTCTGGGAGATGTTTCATCAAAATAATAAAATTAACATTGATAATATAATATAATAGCCAGCCAAAAAAATTGTTCTCATTTACATTTCTCGACCATGAATAATTTCATTTTCGGATGAGTAATTACCTCCGGAACTATGTGATTTGCTTCTAAGATAGTCATTAACTTTATTCCGAATTTCGAGCAAAGGACCAAGACATAAATTACTATAGTATTCAAGAAGGTAATGAATTTTTTACGATTCTAAAATCATATTAATATCCGCCTTAATAGAAATTCTGCGTAGAAAAGATTGATAATTTCAAAGGAAAATAAAAAACAAACCCAAAGATTGTGAAACTGCGTTTTTTGTGTATTAAAACTTTGAGAAATCCTTTGTTTAATGCTAATGAAAAAGTATGTGGAGTAATGCGGAGAAAATATTTTTCAAACTACGTTTTCATTAATGCAGAAGAAAATAAAAAAAGATAGTTTACTTTCGGATTTAATAAAAGATGTTTTATTTTAATTTTTCTGATTGTTTACGAAGCGTTAGATCAGCAGAACGCTTCTTCAAGAACATCAATAACTTCATTTTTAAATAAATATCTAATTATTATTTTTCCGTAAGAATTAAAATTTTTCAAAACATTCAAATTGAAACGTTTTTAAAATTCAACAACTTCCAAGAATATTATTGTAAAACATGAAGAAATTGATCACTTCGAGTCGAAGACTCGGAGTGATCTATTTCTTCATGTTTTACAATAATTAATGATGAAACCTTTTCAAAATTCAATTATTTTTAAAAATGGTTACAAATGGTTCCAAATGATTACAAATGGTACAAGGTAAAATGAAAATGGAAAATGGTTACAAATGGTAACAAAATAAAATAAAAATGGTAACAAATTGTTCAAACCTAACAAACAAGAAAAATACTCCAACAAGAATAAGAATTGCCTTACTGATGATATCAAATAAGGAATATAAAACGAATGTAGATTAGATAGTACATATATTGTTTTAGTGAAGAAAGGCGAAAAAATCTATAAAGTATTTTTCATAATTAAAGGAAGAATTAGTAAATCTTTTATTCTTACTAGATATAACTAGAAATAATTAATTAATGAATGAAAAAGAGAAAGAGTTACGACGACGCTAATAGAAGAATGAACGTCTGTATGGTGCAAGAAAATGAAAATACTTACGCAGTACTTGCAGGTACTTAACACTAAGTAACTAAGAAGAAGAAGCAGAAGAAGGTTTTACCGGGATTGTACTTCCCATATAATACTGTTACAGTTAGACAAAGCTTCAGTTGCCGACTTGTCGCAAAGAACGTAACTTCGCAACATTAAATTAATTTCCAATTAATCAAAAACTTATCAATTTTCATATAATTATCCGTATTCATTTCACATTCAGAAAATCGAAAAATTGTAAATGTCGAAAAAATTACTAATTCATACATGAAGAAATTAATTAGTTTTCATTTTCTACTTCTTCATTTGTATTTAATTTTAAATTAAAATTGCAAATTTTTTCCCCAATATTTATAAATTAAAAATTTCTTTTTGGAGTAATTTAAATGCATTGCAGTATTATTACAAAATTGTGACTTATATTAGACATACTACAATTTCAGTTTTAGTAATATTTACCAGGACATTTATTAAGATTAGTATTATTTTAAAACAATGGTTTTAAAATTATTTTCAAATGAATTAAAATAATTTGAAATAATTTAAAATAATTTGTAATAATTTAAAATAATTTGAAAAAATTAAAAATAATTTTAAATAATTTAGAATAATTTGAAATAATTTAAAATAATTAATATTATTTTTAAATAACAACAAATAATTAAATAGAATCTTCGAAAAAATAGAAAGCAGTGAAGTGAAAAATAATTCGGTTCCTATAATGGAATTTCGATGTGTTTTGAAATGAAATCGTTTCTTTTGACAAGTAAAGAAAAAATTGGTGTGTAAGATTAAAATTGAAGTTTAAAATCCAAATGTGCTCGTCGAAGAGGATTACCTCCTTCTATTACGATCTTCGAGAACGATGAGGTCGATGAAAAGCGGGAAATTTCGCAGCAGGATAAGCGCAATAATTTTTGTATTTCTGATTTCTATCGGGACATTACATGGTCAGGGTTTTACGTTTAACAATCAACTGGCAGTTATTGCAAACGGTAAATTATAATTATGACGAAAAATATAATGCATTAATTTTTCCAAGCATATAGTCAAATTTCATTGAAAATCGAAATAAATATAATTATTTTCATTTTAACTGATCTTATGCACTTTCCATTTAAATTTTGTAATTACAATTTTCACAAGTCTATGTAGTTTTTAAATTTAAATTTTTCTCTGAATCAATTATTATTTTTCATAATTTTACAAAAGTTTTTCAAAAATTCAATTGTTTGAAACTGTAAGTTATAATAAACAATTGAAACTGTGTTTTTATGGTTTTTGTTTTTTAAAAAAAGTTATTAAGGAGAATTATTGAAAATATGTAACAGAAAATATTGAAATAATTGATATTTAAAAGAGGATAATAAAAAAAGTTTTAAAATTAGTTTTTGCATAATATATTTAAACAATTTTTGAAAAATAATAGATTTTTTAATTATACATTTTATTTAATCTATTTATTTAGTAATTATATATTATATGAAAAATTTCCAAGTAGTTAAAGTTTAGTAACATTTTGTTGAAAATAATTAAAGTTTTTGAACTAATTTTTGGAAAACATTTTTAAAAATCAAGTCTTTGAAGAATTTTTATTAAAATAAAATTATGAAAATTTATATGATTTCTCCAAAATTTTAATAATAAAACTGAAAATAATTTTTACAATTAAAGAAACTAATAAATTTTTTGAAGATTTTGAATTAAAAAATTTTTAAATGATTATTTTCCCTAAAATTTTAATGTACCTAATTTTTTTGTAGATATGTGAATTTTTGAAAATATGTAGGTAATAATTGAAAGTATTGAAAATATTTGAATTTTTTAAACTAATTTTTAGAAAATATTGTTAAAAATTAAGTCTTTGAAGAATTTTAATTAAAATTATGAAAATTTATATGATTTCTCCAAAATTTTAATAATAAAACTGAAAATAATTTTTACAATTAAAGAAACTAATCAATTTTTTGCAGATTTTTAATTAGAAATTTTGAAAATGATTATTTTCCCCAAAATTTTAATGTACCTAATTTTTTTGTAGATATGTGAATTTTTGAAAATATGTAATTGAAAATATTGAAAACAATAGAATTTTAAAAATTTTTAATGAAAAAATTTGGAGAATAATTTTTTTTAAAAACTGTTTTAATAAAATTTTGTGTAGCTAATTTTAATTTATTTTCATTTGAAGATCTTTTATTCGAATTTTTGGAAATTCAATTATTTTCAGACTGTGCATTTAAAATTCCTCACAAATTTTAATCAAATACTTAAAAAAAATGAATTGTTTTCAATAAAATGTTCCAATTCAGCTGAAAAAGTTCTATAGAATTTCTACATGAATTCTATTAAATTTTAGTGATTTTTAATTAGAAAGAATATAAATTTCGTAAAATAATTTTTGTAAACACTATATTATTGTATGATTATATTAAATTCGATGAATTATATAAATTTAAATGATTTAAACAATTTTTGCCTAAAATTTGTCATTGAAATCAAATGTGAAAAATTTTACAATAACTTAAATTGAAAAAAATTATTTTACAATAGGTAACTTAAATTAAAAAAAATTATTTTACTAAATTTATATTTTTTCCAATTAAAAATCACTAAAATTTTGTAAAAAAAATAGAAATTTTATAGAACTTTTTAGCTGGGAAAATTTTAATTATTTGAAAACTTTTTAATTATGTTCCTAAAGCTCTAAACGTTTAGATGAACAAAATTTATTTATTTCTTCTTCAAATTCAATTTCTATTACAGTAATTTTGTACCACTACTAAAAAAACTGATTATAAATGTTTTGCAATATTTAGAAGAAAAAAGGCCTACATAGAAAAAGATGCTACTGAAAAGAATATTATATTTTTAATTTGACTGAAACTTTCGCTTTCAATTATGTTTATATTGTAATAAAGTTTGTTAAACTTGCACTTAAATTTCACTTTAGATTGTTATACAAGAGTGGCAATTGGTTCTCGATTACCGGAAACTAATACTACTACCGTTCCGGTAACAACTGTTGCTGATTGTGAAGATGCTTGTTCAAATAATAGGACTATATGCAAAGCCATTAGTTTTGGGTATGTTTTCTTTATCCTACGAAACTGAAGTTGCCAATTGTCGACGTAAAAAGAGATTTTTTTGTCCAAGAAGCAAATAATTTTTCATTAAAAAAAATTAATCACTATTCCTATGATCTGAAAGTTTAAATGAGTATTTAAAAAAAACTATCAAAATCCGTTAAAAAACGTAAGTTGTAAACTTTTTTGAATAGTAAATTGTAGATTCTGACCACTGTGTGAACGGGACAAACAATAATTTAATTTCGTCGACGTAAACGTTGGTAACTTTAGTTTCATTCTCTTTAAGAAAAATTAATCAGCAATTTTCAATTTCTTATTTAATTTTCCATAATTGTGTTAGAATCGGAGTGAGAGGCAACGCAACATGTGTCTTAGGTAACGATGTTCCAAATTCAAGTATTCTATTATCAGACGAAGACTACGATGTTTACGTCAGAACCCAGAAGACACCTTTCTGCGAAGCTGATCGCCTCTTCAGTCTCAGCAGTGGTGGAAGTATGCAAATGCCCAACATCACGACTACAGTCATGCCGGACATCAATTTTATGAACAATCCACTTCCGCTGCAACCAATCGGCATTTTTCAATCAACAAGACCCACTGGTTCCCGACGCACCGGAAGTACAATCAATCAAAAATGGTTCCCCACCAACGATGACGACTTTCGATCTTACGACATCGAACGCAACAAGAATCAAAAAGACTCCCACGAAAAGACTCCCCAACACCATCATCATCATCACCACCACAACAACAACAACAACAACTATCATCAATACGACAAAATCAACGATTCAGACGAAAAAGAACCTGGCTTCTTCGACAAATTCGACTACGGCTCTCTATTCGGTCACAAAACCGAAACAATCCTCGAATCATCAAAAGGAACTTCCGAAGAATCCGGATTCGGAAATTTCTACATCAACAAGAATCTCTACCCCACCGATTTATCCGATTCTCAAAAACCAGTTGTTCATCAAACCTACTTGACAATTTCTGGAAGTAGCAAAACAGGAGGAACCTCAGGAGGAACTAAGGGTTATGATTTCGATAAATCATTCTACGCCTCTGACGAGAATCCACTGACGAAATCTTATGGATTTGTAATTGATCATAATTTACACAATACAGGATATTCTGGAACGAATACGGAGGGTTCGAGTCGTCGAACAGGTGTGGATCTTAAACCAGTTTCAATTTTCGAATTGTATGGCGTGGATAAGGGGAAAACGTGGAAGGATAGATCCAACGATAACGGATCAAGGTTTAAATTAGATTCAAATAATGGTCACAGAAGTCGGGAACCTTCAACACATACTCATAGAGTAACAGAAAATGATAGCTTCCGACAGAATGCACGGTCACCATCAGGCACTTCCGCTTCCAAAAATCCACCGGAACGAAGTTATTCTCATTATAACTCGGGTGGCAATGACAGAACACGTGGAAATAGTGTCCCTAAAAGTAAGTTAATGAGCTTTTTTGTTAACGCTATTTATGCATTCATTCGTTTTTGTAATATTAGTGTCACACGTATATTTCAAAATAAAACTCCTTGCTCTCAATTTCATGCTCGACATTAGTTTCGACTATTGTTGAATTCAATTAGTAGTACAAAAACCATATAAATAATTAGATTAAACGTATCATGTTTATAAATTTAAATTAGAATTTTAATTTTTTATTTTTTAATATAAAGAACTATTTTAAGATCGAACATCAATTTGATTGAAATTTTCATTTTGTATAGCTGATTATTTAAAACATTGACTTGTCCATCCACAAATTTACTAATTCAGGGAAAATTCATAATTAACAATTAATAATAGATATTATTAATTTTAGAAATTTTAATAAAATTTTTCAGAAGAATTTAATTATTTTCATAAATAATAAAATTCTTCCGAGACATTCTATTATTTTCATAAATAATAATATTTTTCCCAAGAATTTAATTATTTTCATGAAAGCAATAAAAATGTCCAGAGGAATTCAATTATTTTTAGTAGAATTTTATTAAAATGTTTCGTAAAAACTGAATTATTTTTAAAAATGTTAACAAAATTCTTCGTAGAAATTCAATTAAATCAAAAAATGTTTCTACAATATTTTTCATAGAATTTCAATCATTATTAAAAATTTTGATAAAACTCTTTATAATAATTCAATTATTTTCAATTTAATTTTAACGAAATTCCTCAAAAGAATTCAATTATTATTTAAAAAAATTTAAGAAAAATTCTTCGACAGAATTCAATTACTTTCATAAATAATAAAATACTTCGCAAGAAATGAATTATTCTCATAAATAATAAGATTCTCCGGAAGAATACAATTATTTTTATAAATAATAAAATTCTTCGGAGGAATTCAATTATTTTGAATACAATCTTAATAAAATGTCTCGCATGAATTTAATTATTTTTAAGAATTTTAACAAAATTCCAAAAATCTCTATATAAAATTTCAATTATTTTCAAAAAGTTTAAAAAAATTCTTCATAAAAATTCAGTTATTTCCAATACAATTTTAAATAAAATTGCTTGAAAGAATTTATTTATTTTCAAAAATGTTAACAAAACTCTTCACGGAAATTCAATATTACGTAAAAAAAATTTAATACAATTTTTCATAGAATTTAAAATTATTATTAAAAATTTTGATAAAATTCTTCATGACAATTCAATTATTTTCAATTCAATTTAATACAATTGATCAAAAGAATTTAATTACTTTCAAAAATTTAAGAAAAATTCTTCTCGAGAATTCAATTATTTTCATAAATAATAAAATTCTTCAAGAGAATGCAATTATTTTTACAAATAATAAAATTCTTCAAAGTCATTTAATTTTTTTCATAAAAAATAAAATTCTCCGGAAGAATGCAATTATTTTTATCTTAATAAAATATCTCGTAAGAAGATATTTTTAATAAAATTCTTCATAAAAATTAAATTATTCTTAATACAATTATTTTCATAAACAATAAAATTTTTCGGAGGAGTTCAATTACTTTTAACACAATTTTAATAAAATTTTTTGTGAGAATTCAATCAATTATTTAAAAAAAATTGTAACAAAATTCCTCAAAGAAATTTTAATTATTTCACAAAATTTTAATAACATTCTGCATAGAATTTGAATTATTTTCAAAAATTTTAAGAAAATTCTTTATTACAATACAGTTACTTTCAATACTATTTTAATAAAATTGCTCGAAAGAATTTTCGAAAATTTAAATAAAATTTTTCGGAGGAATTCAATTATTTTTAATACTATTTTAATAAAATTTCTCGTGAGATTTCAATTATTTAAAAAAAAATTTCAACAAAATCCCTCGCAGAAATTGAATTATTTCATAAAATTTCAATAAAATTGAATTTTATTTTTTTTATGTTTTGAATTTATATTTTAAAAGTTTTGAAAGTACAAATGAACGAAACTTTTTGTTAAAATACTTTTAAATTATAATTAAAGTTAACCATTTTCTTATAGTGAAGCGTTAAATTTTTAATTAAAAAAAAAAAGTTAAAAGAAGTACTAAATATCATCATTTGACAATCAACAAATTTTGAAATGAAAGAAATATATTTTATTAGAAATATTTTCAAAAAACTACTGATTACAATAAAAATGAAAAACTTAAATTTACATTTAGAATCTTTACATAATTAATTTTGTTGATAGTGACACAAAATTATTGTAATAAAATTTTAATTTGAAGAAGAAGCAAATAAATTTTGCTCATTTGAAAGTTCAGAACTTTACGATTATTTCACTTAAATGTTCAAAACTTAAAGAACATCGGACTTTTACATATTTTGCCAAATATAATGCAAAATAAAAAATATAAATATTCTAATATAAATATATTATATAAATATTATATAAATATTTATGAAAATATAAAAATTCTGGCTTTTAAAAATTCGACTCATTTAAAATTCGGTTAAAACTTAAAAATGAGATTTCTGCTAAATTAAAAATAGATTAAATTACATTTTTTTTTATGAAAAGATGATGACACTTAGAAAAGGAAAATCTTTTATTAAAGCAAAAAGAAAGTCTTAATTTCAGATGCAATATTTTTGAGATGGATTTTTGCTGATTTAAAACTGTTAAGGAGTAATTTTATGACTAAATGTTCCTTAACAAATATTTCAATAAATAAAAAAAAATTTCGGGTTAAATTAAGTCCGAAAGCTAAAAATTTGCCTCAATGAAAATTTTCTTCAATGAAATTCAGTGCAATGATTATTCTAAAGAATGAAAACTACGGTGTAATCATAAGCCTCACTTTTATTATTTACAAAGTAAAAATTGCTCCAACTTTCACTATAAAATCAACTCTCAAAATTGTAATAATTTCCAAAAATGCGCAAAAATTCGAGAATAGTTTAAATTCTCCCATAAAACTATAGCAATAAAAATGACTTGATTCGTATAAGTTCTGAACGAACAGTTTATTTGCCACAAAAGAAAAATTATTTGGTGCATGTAAATAAATTACATTGACATCTAAATTCATTGTATACACACGTATATGGGAATCAATTGGAATGAAAATATTTAGTTGCTCGCGTTTATCGGAGTACATCAATCTGTGATTAACAAATGCAACGGCATTGACACGGATTTTAAGCACTGTGCGAATTAACTCACTGCAATCATCAGTTTCCGGTGTGTGTACTCGCACACACGCCACACAATACCTTCATCTACACCTGCCGTAAACCCTTAACACAAAAGTCCATGTCTTTTTTTTTATAACAATAACCACGGAGAAAATTAGTTCCGCAAAATCCACCCTCGATTAAAATTCAAAAAACATATTATTTTAAATAAAAAAATTTTTAGCTTTTGTTTAGAAGCTTTTTCTCTACTTGGCAAATTCATTTTCTGATTAAAATCACTTTGTTGCCGACTTTTTATGCTTTTGAAAATGGCAAGGAATGCAAAAATTCATATATTCATATTTCTCATAAAGTTCTCGGTTTTGTCTTATGTAAAAGCATATCTATCTTTGAGGATAATCTTTAGGTGGTAGCTTTAGGAAAAATATATAATTTAAACAAATTATATAAATTTGCAACCTTCATTTTATATATGAATCGTAAAAAGAAGTTATTTTATGAATTCATAACAGACTTTTAACACCTGAGACGTGTAATTAAAAGCATACAGAGGAAACGCGGCGTTTTCGGGCGTAAAGAAGTTGACGTTTAGACGGAAACTGGGCTTCCTGAAATAATTAACCAAACAATTGTGACCCTGATGAATCTTCAAGGACATAGATGCGCTCCCTTCTAAAATGATGTCACCCAAGAAACCTTGTGTGATCATTATTAGTTTTGCCTTATTTTTGCATACTTTTTTTTTATCATAAAAATATAATTTTATTATGAAACGCGCCTTTTTTTTCTCTTGCGGAAAAACCTCATCTTGGTTTCCTCCGGTTAAATCTCATATCTACAATCATACACTCATAGTTTTTCTAAGGATGTCAAATTCAGACAGAAATATTCCTCACAAATTATGCTCGAACCAGAGAAAGTATTTAAATATACTGGACTTTACGGACCAAAAATTAAAAATTATGGACCAATTAGTGACAAAAATATAACAAATCCGAGTCAAAAAAGAGAACATTTTACTTAAAACTATAAATTAAATTTTTCATAACTATAAAACATGAAGAAATCGATAACTCCGAGTTCGGAGTGTTTCGACTCGGAGTTATCGATTTCTTCATGTTTTATAGTAATTAACGATGACCGTAGTCATAAATAATTAGTTTATAATATAATTTAAAAATATTGTTACTGTAACTTCCTTTGAATTCAATTCAAATTCAAGTAGTAAAATTTCTCAAAAAAATTCAATTATTTAAAAAAAATTGTATAATAAAATTCGTTGCAAGAATTCAATTATTTTCATAAATAATAAATCGATTATTCGGAAATTCATTTGTAAATCAATTTTTAAATTCGAAAATTTCACAAATATTCAATTATTTAAATTCAAAAATAAAGAATTTATTAAATCATTGAATATTTCATAAAATTGAATTCTCATAATGAATTTTATCAACGAATTTTTAAATCATTGATAATTCTTTTGGCAAATTTTAATTAGCGTCACTCTTTTAAAAAATAATAACATTTTTCGAGAAATTCGATTAAAATTGTATTAAAAATAAATAAAATTCTGCAATGAGTTTTATTATTCATGAAAATAATTTAATTTTTGTAAAAAATTTTTATTATTTATGAAAATAATGAAATTATTGCGAAGAAATTTATAATAAATTTGAAAATAATTGAATTCCTGCTTAAAATTTTTTATCATTTATGAAAATAAGTAAATTTTTGCGTAGAATTTTATCAACAATTTTTTTTAAATAATTCAATTCTTTAGGAAAAGTTTATTAAAAATAAAAATTTTATAAATAATTGAGTTGAAGAAGAATTTTGAAAATAATAGAAATTTTGCCGAGAATTTTATCAAAAATTTTTGAAAATAATTGAATTTCAAAGAAGAATTTTATTATAATTTTTAAAAATAATTAAGTTTTTTAAACAAATTTTATTAAAATTAAGTCCCTGTAAAACATTTTTATTATTTATGAAAATAATTGAATTATTATAAAGAAATTTATTAAAAGTTTGTAAATAATTGAAATCTTGGGTAAAATTTGTATCATTTATTTTATTAAAAATAGAAATTTTATAAATAAACTGAATTAAAGTTTTTGAAAATAATTGAAATTTTACCAAAAATTTTATCAACATTTTTTTAAATAATTGAATTTTGGAGAAGAATTTTATTCCAATTTTTAAAAATAATGGAATTTTTGAAACAAATTTTATTAAAATTTTCAAAAATAATTAAATTCTTACCAATTTTTTTCCAACAAAACAAAAATAATTGAATCCCTGTAAAACTTTTATATTATTTATGAAAATAATTGAATTTTTGTAAAAAAATGTTATTATTTATGAAAGTAATAAAATTTTTACGAAGAAAATGAAAAATTTGTAATTGAATTCCTGAGTAAAATTTTTATCATTTATGAAAATAAGTAAATGTTTGCGTAGAATTTTATCAAAATTTTTTTTAAATAATGAAATTCTTTAGGAAAATTTTATAAATAATTGAATTCAAGAAGATTTTTGAGAATAATTGAAATTTTGCCGAGAATTTTATCAAAATTTTTGAAAATAATTAAATTTCGAAGAATTATTATTAAAATTATTAGAATAATTATTAAAATTTTCAAAAATAATAAATTGAATTCTTACGAATTTTTTTCAAAACATTTTATGAAATTTGTGTTTGAAAATAATTAAATTCCTGAAAAATTTTATATTATTTATGAAAAGATCTGAATTATTGTAAAGAAATTTATAAATTTATAATTTATAAATAATTGAATTCTTGTAAAATTTTTATTAAAATAGTAGATAATTTTGGAAAATAATTGAATTTTGGAGAAGAATTTTATTGTTTATAAGGATAATTGAAATTTTGATGAGAATTAAAAAAAATTTTGAAAACCTTTCTGAATTTTTGTAAAGAATTTTATTACTTTTGGAAATAATTGAATTTTTGCAATTACTTTCAATTTCTCAAAAATTCTCCAAATTATATCGTACAATTTACGAACTTTTCTTGCTTTTTCAATCAAATTACGAACATTACGGAACTTTTTAAAAAAAAAAAAAACGCCTTTTACAAACTTCAATTTACCAAAGTTTTTGGTTTAATTTGTAAAATCATTACATGACCAATCAACCATTTTATTAAATGCCTATAAAGATCAAATACTGCTTTTTTACAACTTATTGTCTGGTGTGCTTCTTTCTCATAAGATGTATCGATAAGAATAAATTCATTTTTCTTTCAGTTTCATGAAAAAGAAAATTAAACGATCCCTTCGCGCTCGTTGCACTTTGTGTGTAATAATTATTACATTGATGTACTTGCGTGCAGCAGCACAAATAGAAAAAAAAGAATAAATAATAGAGGTGTCATAGTAATGATCGCGTTACGTTAAACCCCTCCTTATTATTACGCGCTGGTCCTCCCACTAATCCTACGGAAACATTCACTTTTCTATAAAACGCCCCGCGCTTCCAACAATTTCATTATTTTTGTCTCATTTTTTTCCCTGCACGCATCATTCCCAAAAAAAAATACACACACAAAATTATGGAAAATGCCGGTTTTTACGCGCAAAAAATGGAATTTAAAATAAACGTGCCCTGAAATTTTTACCATGAAAAATAAGTGTTTAAATATGTGTATTTTTTCATCGTGTAGAGGGAAAAGAAATTATTTTTTTTAAATTGAAGAAAACTGTAGCTTTTTGAAATAATTTAGAGATAAATTTTTCAATGACATGAATTTAGTTGAAGTGAAATTATTGGTAATGCGGTGATAGTGAATTTTTTTTTCGAAAAGATCGTTTTAAAGTGATTTGTACAAAAATGTGGAAAAGTGAGAAAAAATTGTTAGTGCCACTATGGCTCTTTCTCATTTTGGGGCAAATTATTCTTCGCTATTCAGAGGCCACATCACTCGCTACAATACAGGAGCCACATATCTTTTGTTTAAGTAAGAAACAGAAAAGAATATCACACAAAAAATATTATTTACTTTTAAAGAAACACTTATTGTTTGGGAAAATTATTCAAAAATAATTAAAACTATTTTCAAAATGAATTTACTATAAAAACAATAAATGAAGGTTTATAGAAATATTTTATTTTTAAATTAATTTTTAAATTAAACATCAGGAAACTTTTTAAACAGATTATTATTATTATTTTATTATTTATTACTATTGTTGTTTTAAGATGTTTCTTTAAAAAATAGAGAATCAAAAAAAATTTCTGAATATTTTTTCATACAAAAGATTATAAAGATTTACCAAGAAAAATATTTTATCTTTTAAAATGTTGATCGTAAACATTGTAAACTTTTCCGGAATATTTATACAGATTAAAGTATAATAATTAATCAGATATTGTGTTATTAAATAATTTTAGAAACAATTTAAACTACTTTAAGAAATTTTTTTTGAACATAAATAGTTTCAAAAAATTACTAACTGGAATAAAAATTAAAAACATAAATATTGAACAATTTGAAACTTTACAAATTATATTTTTAATATTGTATTTAAATTTTTTTTATTTTAATATTTTTAATATTTTTACAATAAGACGTAAAGTTGAAAAAAATAAATAAACAAAATTTTCAAAACATTATGTCTCAAGTTTCGAACCTTGAAATGAAAGACAATATTTTTATTATACTTTAGTTCTTTATAATTAATTAAATTTTTCATAATTATAAAAAATACCTATAAAAAATATTTTGTATCCTATTAATAAATATAGAAAATGAAAAAATTAATTTTTACTAAATAAATGTCTTATAATATTATTTATTTCTGTCTATGAATTTTTTTTTGTACATTTGAATATTTAAATATTTAGGTAAATTTGTACTTAAATATACTTCAAATTTTTTAAAAAATTTCTTTTATACAAACTTTAAAAATAGTAAAAATTTTAGACCCTTTTAACAAAAGACAGAACTGTAACTGAGATATTTAGGATTAAATTTTTAAATAATTTTTAATTCAAATTTATTAATAGTCGAATTAAAACAAAAAAATATTACGAAACTGTTAAGCGGTCCAATTTTTAAGATTTCTCGTCTAACAATATAAATCAATTTTTTAAAACAATTTATACTATTGTTGTATTGAAATAAAATTATTAGTTTACCTAAACAGATTTAAGAAAATCATTTTTTTATAATTTTTATCGTTTATGGTATTGTTTATTGTTATTGTTTATCGTAAAATAAAACCAGAATGTAACTGGGACCTCTAAAGTACTTAAAATTCAAAAAATTTTTTACATCGAGAAAAAATAATTCGTAACAGAAAAATATTCCCTAAATAAAAATAGTAAAAATAGTAAATAAAAATTCAAAGTTAAGAATGCATAATAATTCATTCATACATGAATTTTAAATTAGATGAAGAAATTGAGCCAGCATCATAAATTAATTAAATTATGTTTATTATGTGCACCCACAGCTTGTTATCGAAAAATACCAGGGAAAAAGGTCGCTGAAGTTCACATAAGAAATACACTAGAATGCGAGAGATTGGAAGACTGTCGACAGGAGTGTGAAATGCAAAAAACTGTTCTCTGCGAGGGTTTCAGTTATAGGTAAGCAAACATTAAACATTATTTTCCATTGTGTTCTTCATAAAACATAATTTTCAATATACATGAAAAAGAAAGCATTGAAAGTTATTTTATTTTCATAAAAACAATTTTCTAATTGTTTCCTATACACTACTTCCACCAGCTATTTCCCTTTTGTCGTTCTATCTTGTTCTATCAAAAGGGACGCATATCTATTATGAAAATGTGTTACAATATTTAGAACCTTATTTCCTCACTTTGCCCTTCGTCTCGCACTAATGATTAAAATTCCCCTCTGTTTTTCATTTTCACCTTTACTATTCAGTATTTTAGAAAAAAAAGTAGGCAATTAGACCAATTACACAATCTTTTTTAACTCTGACACAAAAGGTGTAAATTCGATTTATGGTAACGGGTACTTCCTTCCTTACTTCCTTACCTAAAATATAAACCACTTAGGGGAAAATATATGAAGTAAGTTTTACTACTTATAAAGTAAAAAATAATTAATTTTATGCTCCAAATATTACTAATGTAAAATTATTTTTTACCACAAGTGAATTTTTAAACAGAGTTGCCACAAAAATTTATTTTTGTTTTACCCTTACTTTTCCCTGTCTCCCAGACAAAATTTTCATTTTTTTCCTGACCCTTAAGAATATTCTGATGCACTTCAAAAATTATTAGATACTCAAAAAAAATTTCTATTACATTTATTTACAAATTTCTGTAGTTGTAAAATTATTCTAAAATATCAATAACTTCTTTTTTAAATATAAATATTTAGGTAATCATTATTATTTTTCTATAGGAATTAAAATTTTCAAATTCAAACCTTCTGAAATTCAATAACTTATGAAAATTTTTTATAAAACATAATTCAAATTTTCAAAAATTTTAAATTAAATTTTTTTAATACCTACATTTTTTTAATCATAATAAATTCTTTCGAGAATTCAATTATTTAAATACAAAAACACGGAGAAAAATAGATTATACAATTAGGAATTTAGAAAATAAGATCATACTGAATATAATCTTATTAATACCCTTTATAAGCTATTTACAACCTTTTAATCTTTTAGAATTATTTCTGGTATTTACAATGGATTATACATTTTATAATCCAAAATCGAATCAAATTATAATTGTAAATTATAACTATACGGGTAAAGGTGCTACTACTTAAAAAATGAAATAAAATTTTCTATTCTTCAAGATTGTCCCTGCTCAGTCCCTACTAGAACTCTGGTAATTTTCAGATGACTAGAATTGTTAAATTTGGTAGAAATAAATTTTTATTTTCGTTTTTACTAAATTTTGATTGTCTGATAGCGTTCGGGTGAGGGTGCTACTACTAAAAAATTAAAATAAAATTCTCTATTCTTTAGGATTGTGTAGGGCTTAGTCCCTACTAGAATTCTGGTAATTTTCAGATGAATAGAATTGTTAAATTTGGAAGAAATAAATTTTTATTTTCGTTTTTACCAAATTTTGATTGTCTGATGGCGTTCGGGTGAGGGTGCTACTACTAAAAAATTAAAATAAAATTCTCTATTCTTTAGGATTGTGTAGGGCTTAGTCCCTACTAGAATTCTGGTAATTTTCAGATGAATAGAATTGTTAAATTTGGTAGAAATAAATTTTTATTTTCGTTTTTACTAAATTTTGATTGTCTGATGGCGTTCGGGTGAGGGTGCTACTACTAAAAAATTGAAATTAAATTTTCTATTTCTCAGGATTGTGTAGGGCTCAGTCCCTACTAGAACTCTGGTAATTTTCAGATGAATAGAATTGTTAAATTTGGAAGAAATAAATTTTTATTTTCGTTTTTACCAAATTTTGATTGTCTGATGGCGTTCGGGTGAGGGTGCTACTACTAAAAAATTAAAATAAAATTCTCTATTCTTTAGGATTGTGTAGGGCTTAGTCCCTACTAGAATTCTGGTAATTTTCAGATGAATAGAATTGTTAAATTTGGAAGAAATAAATTTTTATTTTCGTTTTTACCAAATTTTGATTGTCTGATGGCGTTCGGGTGAGGGTGCTACTACTAAAAAATTAAAATAAAATTCTCTATTCTTTAGGATTGTGTAGGGCTTAGTCCCTACTAGAATTCTGGTAATTTTCAGATGAATAGAATTGTTAAATTTGGAAGAAATAAATTTTTATTTTCGTTTTTACCAAATTTTGATTGTCTGATGGCGTTCGGGTGAGGGTGCTACTACTTAAAAATTTTAATAAAATTCTCTATTCTTTAGGATTGTGTAGGGCTCAGTCCCTACTAGAACTCTGGTAATTTTCAGATGAATAGAATTGTTAAATTTGGAAAAAATAAATTTTTATTTTCGTTTTTACCAAATTTTGTTTGTCTGATGGCGTTCGGGTGAGGGTGCTACTACTAAAAAATTAAAATAAAATTCTCTATTCTTTAGGATTGTGTAGGGCTTAGTCCCTACTAGAATTCTGGTAATTTTCAGATGAATAGAATTGTTAAATTTGGAAGAAATAAATTTTTATTTTCGTTTTTACCAAATTTTGATTGTCTGATGGCGTTCGGGTGAGGGTGCTACTACTTAAAAATTTTAATAAAATTCTCTATTCTTTAGGATTGTGTAGGGCTCAGTCCCTACTAGAACTCTGGTAATTTTCAGATGAATAGAATTGTTAAATTTGGAAAAAATAAATTTTTATTTTCGTTTTTACCAAATTTTGTTTGTCTGATGGCGTTCGGGTGAGGGTGCTACTACTAAAAAATTAAAATAAAATTCTCTATTCTTTAGGATTGTGTAGGGCTTAGTCCCTACTAGAATTCTGGTAATTTTCAGATGAATAGAATTGTTAAATTTGGAAGAAATAAATTTTTATTTTCGTTTTTACCAAATTTTGATTGTCTGATGGCGTTCGGGTGAGGGTGCTACTACTAAAAAATTAAAATAAAATTCTCTATTCTTTAGGATTGTGTAGGGCTTAGTCCCTACTAGAATTCTGGTAATTTTCAGATGAATAGAATTGTTAAATTTGGAAGAAATAAATTTTTATTTTCGTTTTTACCAAATTTTGATTGTCTGATGGCGTTCGGGTGAGGGTGCTACTACTAAAAAATTAAAATAAAATTCTCTATTCTTTAGGATTGTGTAGGGCTTAGTCCCTACTAGAATTCTGGTAATTTTCAGATGAATAGAATTGTTAAATTTGGAAGAAATAAATTTTTATTTTCGTTTTTACCAAATTTTGATTGTCTGATGGCGTTCGGGTGAGGGTGCTAACTACTTAAAAAATTTAATAAATTCTCTATTCTTTAGGATGTGTAGGG